GACGCTCAGGACGGGGACTTGGAGCTGGGTTACGCTGGACAGCAGTGGTGAGGCGGGAGGAGCTCTCCCTGGCACTGTGACTGTTAAGGCTCTCACCCACGCTGGCAAAATGCTAGCAGGACAGAGCAACAGAACGCGGCCCATTGGCCAGTGCCGTGGCTGTCGATCTTCACCGGTATGGGGACAACAATAAGAATAGTGGTTTGTGCTGGCTTCTTTTCCGCCCCCCCCCAATGTTTAATTAGGGTAAAATAGACGTAACATAAAGTTTACCATCTTAAGTATTTTTAGGTGTAAAGTGCATTAAATATATCCACATCTCCGTGTGACCGTCAGTATCATCCAATTCCGTTGCTCTTTTCATTCTGTAACACTAGAGCTCTGGGCCGGTTAAACAGTAGCAGTCCTTTCTCCTCCTTCCCAGACCCTGCTGCACCCGTCCGCTTTCTGTCGCTATGGTTTTGTCTGCTCTAGGGACCGCTGGAAAAGTGAAATCATCGAGCCGTGTGTCTTTTTGTGACCTGCACATTTCGCTTGTGTGCTCGAGGTTCAGCCACGCTGTAGCATTGTTAGGATCTCCTTCTTTTCTATAGACAGATAACATTGCATTGTACATGCACGCCGCTCTGTTCACCCATTTACTGCGTCTCTCCATAGACATTGGGCTGTTCCCGCCTCTTCCCTGTGGTGTATAACGCTGCTGGGAACGTGGTATACAAACACCACTTCAGGAACACACTTTCAATATTTTTTCTCATGAAGTTTCAGTAGAGTTGGGAATTGCTGGATCATATGGTAACTGCGTGTTTAATTTCTCAAGGAGCGCTGCTTTCCGCAGCAGCTGTGTCGGTAACCTTCCACCAGCAGCGCACTTCTGTATGTCCTCTCCAGGATTCATGAGGCTGAGCGTCTTTGCGTGTGCTCAGTGGCCATGGGTATATCTTCTTTAGAGACATGTTTGCTCAAATCCTTGCTCATTTGCCCACTTTTAAATCAGGTTGTTTAGGACTTTTCTTATTGCTGCTGTTATTGTTGTAGGAGTAGTTTATGCACTCTGGACCTTGACCCTTCATTAGATATAGATTTGCACACATTTTCTGTCGGAGACCACAGATTATAAATTGTGTCTTGGGGATGTCTGGTGCTGTCCTCGTTCTGCCCTCGGAGCCATATTGGAAGGCTGGACCGCCCGCTTTCTTTTCGTTACAGCTGAAGCCTCACCAGTCCCAATGCTGGGACGCTCCAGGGAAAGATTACCTCAGCCAAAGACACCCTCATTCCTTGAGAACCGAGTAGAAATGAGAAAAGGGTTTCACCTTGGGGAAAGGACAGACTGACCTGCCATCTCTCCCCACCGTCCTCATCAACATAAAGACCCTCCTTAGCATAAGACCACGCCCTCTGAATCATCTGATAATCTCACCACTTTCCTCAATCAATAAATGCTGCAGCCTGGCAGGAGATTGGAACCCCTGCAGGGCTCCCCAGTAGTAGTTTTCACCAACTCCGTAGTGCCTTATTACCTGTTGATTGTGCCCTTTGATGAGCAGAAGTTTTTATTTATTTTTATTTTTATTTTTTTTTGAGACAGGGTCTCCTTATATAATTCAGGCTGGCCTTGAGCTCACTTTGTAGCCCAGGCTGGTCTCAAACTCTCAATGATCCTCCTGCCTCAGCCTCCCGAGTGCTGGGATTACAGGTGTCTGCCACCACACCCAGCTGCCCCAAGAGTTTTGAATTTTGATGTAGTCCAATTTATATATTTTTCTTTTTGTTACCTGTGTATTTGATGTCATACTCAAGAGATCATTGCCAAATCTAGTGTCAAATCTTCCCTTTTATGTTTCCTTCTGAGAGTTTTAGTTTTAGCTCTTATATTTAGGTCTTTGATTCATTTAAAATTGATTTTTATGTATGGCATAAAATATGAGTTATCACTTATTTCTTCTGCATGTGGATTGACAGTTTTTCAGCACAGATTATTGAATAGACCATCATTTCCCCACTGAATTGACTTGACATCCTAATCAAAAATCATTTCAACATAGATTCTAGAATTTACTTCTGAACTTAATTTTATTCTATTGTTCTATATGTCTTTTTTTTTTTTTTTCCTTTTTGTCCTTTTTAAGACAATGTCTCACTGCAATTCAGGCTGGCCTTGAGCTCACTTTGTAACCCAGGCTGGTCTTGAAGTCAAAACAATCCTCCTGCCTCAGCCTCCCGAGTTCTGGGATTACAGGTGTGTGCCACCACACCTGGCTATTTTGATTTTTGTTGCTTTGATATCAGGAAGTAGTCCTTCCTTGTTCTTTTTCAAGGCTATTTTGGTGGAGTTGGCGATGGACTAAATGGTTGTGTCCCTGTCCCCCACCTCCGATTTATAGGTTGAAATCCTAATCCTAAAGCAATGATATTAAGAGGTGGAGGCTTTGGAGATTAGGTCAGGAGGGCCTTGTCATGGACAGGGTGCCCTTCCACCATGGTAGGACACAGTGGGAAGCTGCCATCGGTAAGTGACAAAGTGGTCTCTGGCTGGACCCTGAATCTGTAGGCACCTTGATCTTGCCCTTCCTACTTTCCAGAACTATGAGAGATTACGTTTCTATTTTTGTAGGATAACTAGTCTACGGTGTTTGTTATAGAAACCTGAACAGACTAACACAGGGGCCTCTTGAGATTCTGTGAGAATTTAAGGAATGATTATTTCTTTTTCTACAAAAAAAGGCTTTTAGGAGTTTGATATGAATTACATTTAATCTGTAGATTGCTTTGGGTAGTAGTGACATATTAATATTAAATCTTTTAGCCTATAAACATGGGATACTTTTCCATTTATTCTTATCTTACTTTCAGCAATGTTCTTTTTTTTTTTTTTTTTGTACCAGAAATCAAACTCAGGACCTTGTGCTTGCCCTGCAGGTGCTCAGCAATGTTCTCTAGTTTTCAGTGTACAAATATTTCACCTCTTTGGTTAGGCTTATTCCTAAAAGGTTTATTTTTTTTATGTCACGAGTGGAATTGTCAATTCTTAACTTCTTTCTCAGATTGTTCTCTGTTAGTATAGAGAAAAAAATTGATTTTTCTGTGATTTTATATGCTGTAACTTTGCTGGATTTTAAAAGAGATTTTAGAAGGTGGATTGTGCTGAAAGTTAGCCATGGACTCAATTTGAAGGACATGAGAACTGCAAAGGAAACACAGTAGACAGTCTCAAATCTTAGGATTTGTGTGGTTTACTTTGAGAATTTTTAACATTTGGGTTTTTCTGGTCCCTCGGAAATGGAAAAAGTATCCCCTCCCCCTCACCAAATATGAGCAGCCTTTCTTCACCCAAGACCACGCTGAAAACATTATGCTAAAGGACAGAAGCCAGACACAGAATATCACATATTGTATGACTGCATTTAGAAGAAATATCTAGAGTAGGAGAATCCATCGAGGCAGAGGGTATACAAAGAGTGACAGGAAGTGACTGCTGGTTTTTATTGCTTCTTTCTCAGCGGATGAAAATGTTCTAAAATTGTGCAGTGGTTGTGCAATTTTGTGGTGATACTAAAACTCACTGCACGGTTAAAGAGGAAAATAGATGTCAAATTTTCATTTCTGAGGTCCTACACCAGCCAGCAACTAGCTACTGCCCTGAGCAGATTTGTTTTCCAGGTCCAGATGCATATTTCCCTCATGTAACTGACCCCGCCTGAATCCGTATGCTACCTCAACCAAGTGTTTCCATAATTCTGAGCTTGCCTAGAGTTTGAACCTGCCTATATGATATAATTTTACCTTAGGCCAATCAGCAATAAGGAGATAAGATGTAACCAACCAATGATGGCCAAACACCCTGCTTCTGTACTTCCCACTTGCAAACCCCATATAAGACTACCAGAGATCAGGGCCTGACACTTTGGGAATGAACTTCTGATCAGGCCTGTTGATGTTAATAAATCTGCCTCCAAATCCTGGGTGATGTCTTGGTGTTTCTGTTTGCTATTGCATGATAAGCTTCAGAAGGGTGAATTTTACGGTATCGGAAAGAGCTCTCAATTAAAATATATATATAAAATTCTATTGTTCTGGAATAAGTTCTCTGTGCACTTTTCTCAGAAAGATTTTATTTTATGACAACCAAATCATTTCATATGACACTTGCAAAACTCCCTTGATGTCTCTGTGTTGTGCGTGTGGCTATAATTCAGGCTTTCTCACTACAGCTGTGCATTCTCTGCTGTGTATAGACTGCAGTTTATTCATTCTGCTATTCTTTTGGTAGACATTTTGATTATGATGGATATTTTGATTGTTTCCAGTTGGGGACTACCATAAATAAAATTCACTTTTTTTTTTTTCAGTGCTGGGATTGAACCTAAGGCCTTGGACATACTAAGCAAGCTCTCTTCCACTGAGTGACAACCTCAGCCTCAAACTTACCTTTTAATATTAATGTTGAGTTAATATTAACATTAAAGGGTAGAGAAGATGCACCTTCCATCCAGGCTGTGGAAAGAAGATTCAAGAGTCATGCTTAGAGGTTGTTATGCCCGTCCTGTCTTCCCCAGGGAAGGCTGTGCTTCCTCCCACAGCCCGGAAGCAGATGTCTGGTTCCAGGTAAATCCGAGTCAACTCCTTAGAGTGGAGATCAAATCAGTTGAGAGCTATGGAGGGAGAAATTTCAGAAGCCATTAGCTAAACTCGAGTACTAACATCTAAATGTTAAGTAACAACATAAAGTCAGGTTAAGTTTCTCCAGGGTTCAGAAAGGTTGTTTTTCTTGAGTTTATTTCACAACAGCTACAACATTAGAGCCAGCCTGTGAAGGGAGTTACCCCGCATTCTGACTTTAACTGTCCCAAGGCTTTGCCGACCTCTTCAGCTGCGGAGTAAGGATTTGGGGGTGTTCTGGGAAGCCCCTTAGAACTCTGGGACCCCTGGATTCTGGATTTTGGCTGGGGTTTACAAGAGAGGGGCCTCAGAGGGCTGGGGACACCCTGTGTGATGTCACTGGGCTTTGTGAGGCCCATGTGGGGAGACTGAGCAGCACAGTCCAGCACCCTAAAATCTGCACCCAGATAAACGTTGCATCTTTCAACCCACACAAACCCCGCCTGACTCTGTCTACCACTCCGCCTGGCAAACAGAGGACACAGCTATCTCGGCGGTAGGTGGAGGGGCCCGGTGTGCCAGGAAGCAGGGGGCGCAGATGCCGGGAAACCCTTTCACCTGGGGTCAGTGGGAGATGCGTGACACATGGCTGGATTTTGAAGGGGATCCTAGCTCTGGGGATTAGGATGAAGACTTTGATTTCTCAAGAGGGAGTGGCCCCAACTCCCTTTGGGGACTGATTGGGCCTTTTAATGGCTTTTGTTCTTGAAAAATAGGCTGGTTTTCATCATGTAGTCCTTGGTGCTCTTAATGCAAATTTATACCAAGTGGGTGTGTCACTGATTCAAAGAAAGTCAATAGGGGAAAAAGCCTTTAGAGTTACAGAAGATGGTAGATCCTGTCCGGAGAACAGCATTAAGATTGTCCTGGGAAGGCAAAGGGTTAAAAAATATTGATTATTGCCAGGTGTGGTGGCACATGCCTATAATCCCAACACTTGGGAGGCTGAGGCAGGAGGATTGCTAGGATTTGGAGGTCAGCCTGAGCTAGGTAGTGAGTCTAAGGCAAGCTTGAACTACACAGTGAGACTTTGTCTCAAAAAAAAACAAATTAAAAAAAAATACCGGTTATTAGTGGGTGGACCTTGAGACCATAATGTTAAATGAAATAAATCAAACATAGAACTTTAACTATGGCGTGGTTTCTCTTCTATGAGAAACCTAAAGTATGAATAAAGAGCAAAATAAAAGATAGATAGTAGGAAGCAAGCAGTTAGATCTTTGTTAAATGGGAAGGGGATCAAAGGGGTGGAGGGAGGCAAGAGGATTATAAAGGAATTAAGATGTGTTATGTACAAGCACCCCCTCCATGCAAGAGATACAAACATGATGTACTGCACACACCAACTAAAAACAAGTTTTAAAAATACTGATTATTTACAGAAAAATTACTCACAACATTCTCTAAAGCAAGGTCATACTGCCCTGACTTTCAGATTTTAAAGCAAACTCAATGGCAGTAAATACAGATTTATGCGTTTGGGCATGTACATTCTTGTGTGTGTGTTTGTGTGTGTGTGTGTGTGTGTGTGTGTGTGTGTTGCTGCTGATTTTTTTTTTTTTGACACAGGGTGTTGCTATGCAGCTCCAACTCACCTTGAGCTCACTCCATAGCCCAGGCTGGCCTCAAACTCACAATGATCCTCCTGCCTCAGCCTCCCGAGTGCTGGGATTACAGGCATGTGCCACCACGTCCGGCACTGCTGATGATTTTTAGCTGCCTTTTCTTTTTACAGGATTCCACTAGGCGTCTTTGCACTCGGCTGTTTATTTGCTGTACACACAAATCTCCATCAAAACATGACTTACACCTCAGTCCTGCATTCTTGTGCCCTGTGAGCCCAGTGTGTTTTAGTGAAGAAAATAACTGAACATAGTTTTTTTCTGAGGATACAGAGTCAAAAGCCACTCACAGTCCTGTTACCTGTCTCTCTCGGTACAAGGGATTTTCTGTTTTGTGGGAGTGTGAGGGCCGGGTTAGGAGGTGAGGTATGTATTCCAGAGAGCTAGGGCAAACTCTGCTTCGAGACAATGTGATATAAGAACTATGTAGATAACAATTAACTAGTAAAACAAGAAAAACAGAGGGGTTATTTATATGTTTGCCTCTGAAGAGAATTTCGTCCAAGTTTTCTTAATGCATTAGAATCCTTTGAAAGAATATGGATTTAGTTTTATGTAATAATCCTAACATATAAATGCAAGTGCATGCTTAGCATATTAGATATGATTGCCTCCTCTTAACTATTTTTTCCTTTAACTGGTTTCTATTTTTTTGGGGGGGGTTAGAGAAAGTTAACACAGAAGTCTCTCAAAAGTTAGACATTTCATAGGAAGACACGGTGATAATATAAATTAGAACAGCATCATTTACTTGTTTATTTATTTGTTTGTTTGTTTTAGAGGTTGAGGTGCTGGGGATCAAACCCATGGCTTGACTCCAGCTACACAAGCCCACTGAGCTACATCCCCAGCCCTTGGTTGTTTTAATGTCATTTCCCCAAATTAGAAATTATCTTCCTCTCTTATACATTTGATACTTTTTATGTGAATAATCAACTATTTCACTTGTAAAGTGTTTTCCCTTCGGTCAATGAGCCGTCACCATGCTTCCAGGATCTTGGCCGGGTGTTAAATCTTGTGTCCTGGGATCACGCCTCCCTAACCCAAGCCTAGATGCCCCTCCCTCGCCTTAGGCCCCCTCAGGATGGGGCCCTGCATGGCTGGCAAAGGCTGAGTCTGCAGATCCGTGGGGTATGCACTTTGTCTGCCAGGAAATGACCCAAGTTGTTACTCTGGTGGCCACTTGGGGAGGTTCAGTGTGGCGTGGAGGCCCAGGCACGCGTGCTCCAGTTTGTGGGCTCAAGGTCCTTGTGCGGGTGCTTTGATGCCCCGGAGCAGTCCTGGGTCTAGGTGCTGGGCAGCAGTCTCGGTGTTCCAGAAAGCTCAGTGGGGTATGCAAGCTTGTGGTCCCCCCGCCCGGCTCAAGGTCAGAAGCATGGCAACCCAGTGTTTCTCTGGAAGCAGCGGGGAAAAGGACAGAGAGCACTAAATGTTCAAAGCAGATTTTTGAAGGTCTAAGCTAAGTCTCCAGAATGGGCTGGGCATATATGAGGGATAAGTTCAGCCTTCTTCATGTTATCTCCTCAAGCTATGCACTCGGGCATAGGGACCGAGGCCTTTAAATGGCACTGCATGTTTTGTATAGTGTTATCTGGATGTCCTCTTTTACGTATCAGTTTCGAGAGCTTTGCTGATAGTAAAAAGATATACTTTATGTATGTGATAAGGACTGATATCAAAATGATCTGTCTTTAAGACATTTAGAACAGAATTTAAGGCAAACAGATGATCTACAAATCATGGAAATATCTAATACTGCTTCTCTTAAATCATTCTGATTTAGGAAATTGAAAAACGGACTTTTGAAAAAGTTAGGTTTACCATGCGATGTAACATAATTCAATATTTATTCTATGGGTCTTTGATATTTGGCATCTGGACAGCTCTATTCTTTGTGTATTTTCACCGCGAGTATATGAGGAACCCACACAAGAAAATCCAGGAACCTGCATTAACTTGGTCCCAAGTTGTCCAAGCCCCGGAGGAAATAGCAAAGCCGTTCCTAGTAATGGACAGCGCTGAGGAGGAGGTGCTTACCGAGTGGAAGCCGTTTTCTCCCTTAAGTAAGTATTTTCATTTCCTCTACTAGCTGTTCTTAGCAGGGAAATACACCATAAACTTAATATTTGGAAAAGTGAGAGAATACTTTTTATAATGATATAATTTTAAAATCTTGAAATGCTTCATATACATATAGGTATATGAGCAAAACAGTAAAACAAGTGTGTATGCATTTACCACCTAAATGTAACTCTTTTTTTGGAGATACGCTCTCACCACGTGGTCCCGGGTAACCTTGAATTCACTGTATAGCCCAGGCTGGTCTCAAACTCACAGCGATCCTCCTGCCTCTGCCTCCTGAGTGCTGGAATTACAGGCGTGCGCCACCATACACATCAACATTTTTTAAACTATGGCTTGCATGTTTGCTTTAGATAGCTTTCTGCTTTTCAGAGAAATAAAATTTAACGATACAGATCCCCCTTCCAACCTCACAGGCAAGCTGCTGCCTGCAATGATGGGTGTGTACCTTCTCCATTTCCTCTGCATGATTTCCCTGCACAAAATCTGATGTTATGGATTTATCTGCATTCTACATCCTTCTGAAACTTGCTTTTTCTACTCGTTATGTTTGTAGGACTTTTTTCTCCGTGTTAAGACAGGAAGACCTAGTTTAACAAAATAAGTCCACAAGAAAGAAAAAAGATAAAGAGAATAATAAAGAACAGAAATTAAAAACCAGATCTAGTTCTGCAGATCCCTGCCCTGCCTTGAGCCCCGCTTGAGAGAGTGTGAGTCCCAATGGCCCCTTGGAGAGCTGTCTCCGCCCTTGCCTTGGGCCACACCCTAATTCTGCTCTGAGCCTCTTACCACTCAGATGGCAACAGAGAAAAAGAAAAAGGAAAACAAGAACAAACCAAAGCAAAAATCACCAGGAGGGCCCCCAGGGATGATGTGTGGGATGTGAGCACTTCCTGCTGCTCTTCCAAGTGACACAGGGCTGGGCTGGCGGAGCCCTGGCCAGTCACAGACGCCAAGTGTGAGTGTGGAGCTGGGGCTCCCACTTACGGCCTGACCCCAGCCCAGGGCTGTCATCGAGAAATCTCAGCTGTGGCAGTGGTTGGTCCTGGAATCAAAAGACTAGAATCACTGTCTCTACCCTGGAAACGTGTGTAATAGCTTAGGATATCATTGACTTACAAGCATTTATGAAGAATGTTTAAAAACACAAACCAAAAACTGAAAATCACCCATCGAGGTTAGCACTCGAACACATACCTGTATAGGTGTAAGAGAAATGCTCCCTTTCTCATCTTTTTAAGATAGGAGATAGGCTGAGATATATGTTTCCTGTTTCCCAGCTTCTCCCTACGTGCAACTTGCTTTATATCATAGCAATATTTTTAGCCAAATACATACCAATCTGCCTCAATCTTTAGCAGTTGCAGAGAATGACTCAGATTTTATGTAGCCATTCTCATACTGATGAGCATCTAGCTTGCTTCCTGTTGTCTTACAATTACAAATTGATGCAGTGAACTTCCTCTACAGAACATACCATGAAAGGAAATATGGACACATTTTAAAGTACTTATAATTCTATATTTACATACAAGAGGTGATCAAAGTATACAGTGAATATTTACATTTTTTTAAAAAATTATGACAGTTCAGGATGGGATGCCATTATTCCCCCCCGGCGAAGCAGTTCCGGAAGTCTTCTTTCATGAGTGTCATTCTGAGGTGTGTTGAAAAACATGGCGACTGCTGCCGCCATGCGCCATCCAACTGCAAGGCAGGCTGGGAAAAACATGGCGGTGTGTCCTCCTCCACCTCACTCACCAGATCAGGCACTGCGCCACTTCTGGTTCTTCCCCAAAGTCAAAATGACCGTGAGAGGTCCGTTTTGAATCAGTTCGGGACATCAAGGCAGGCATGACAGTGCAAGTAAAGACCCTCGGGATAGAGGACTCCCAGAGCTGCTTCAGAAAGTGGCAAGAACGATGTGATAAAGCGTGTTCAAAGTGAGAGAATTTTGAGGAGGGTTAGTGGCGATATGCCTGTTACTGTAATACCTTTTTAAAGTTTAATCATTTACCGTATTTTCAAAATCACATCTCAAAGAATAGATTCCTAGAAATGGAGAGCTGCAGAATGGGGTCTGTGCCATTTTTTAAAAACGTGTTAATAGAAATAGTAAATTCTTGGCTACCAGTGTAACCACTGTTTTCTTGCATCAGTCGGCACATTTTAAACTTGCCTGTCTGTATTGGGGTGCGGGACCTTCTGTTTACTGTGCACCTCCACTGCCTGGCACCAGGCAGGTTCTGCGCTGAAAAGTGGGACCTGTGTCCCTTCCCTGCCTATAGCCTTGCAGGGTCCTTCCCCTCCGGGATGTCCTCTCAAAGCTCTGGTGTGGTTTCCTCATTTTTTTCTTTTGTTTTCTTTTTTTTTTTTTTTTGCCTGGGATTACAGGTGTGTGCCACCGTGCCCAGCTTCTGAACTCTGTTTTTGTCCCCACCAGAATTTTTTTTTTTTTTTTGGTCGTCTTTTCTTCCGGTACCAGGAATCGAACTCATGACCTTGTACTTGCCAGGCAGGCACTTTGCCGCTGAGCTAAATCCCCAGCCCCACCACCAGAGATTTTATGTCAATATAAAAGCCACTCAAATTGAGAAACTGCTTAATCTGTAAAGGATTGAATTAGATGATACATTTCTGGTAATTGCATATTTTATAATTCTTGCTGGTCCTGTTTCACATTCTCTGAAAGGCAGAGCTGATGACAGAATGCTGCCTCCCAGGTCACATGCCAGATGAAGAAGGGGTAAAGTGACCCTTGGACAAGAAGCTGAATACAGGCATGTGAACCCCATCGCACCCCATACCACGTGGGCACTTAACCTGTGACTCCCCCAAACAGCTCAGAACCAAAACTTTTTCATTTCTGTTAGGATTTTTAAAACCTCATCTTTGGCTTGGGAACAGTTTCTTGAATTCTCACAAACTGCCAGAACTTTTAAAAAAACTATTTTTCAAGTTATAACCTGGCCTCTGAGTTCTAAATGGTTGTCCTTGGAAGACTGATTTTTCCGATGGCTTCTTAAGACATGAGCATAGGCTGAGATATAAGAAGCTCCACTGCACCTGGCCACAATTTTAAATTTCGATTATGCTCGTCTTATCACATTTTTTTGTACAGTTCATTTTTTTTAAAAGAAGATTTGCCTACCGCAAGTTGACAAAACTTTTGTTTTGTTTTCTTTTAGAAATTTAAAAATGTGTGGCTTCATGTTAGGATCATGATCCATTTCAAGTTAATTTTATGATGATTGGTCACAAAATTGGGATTGATTTTGGGTTGGGATTGATCTTCACTTCTACCTTGAGGGCATCCAGTTGATCCAGCACAATTTGTTGCAATACCTCCCCCTGTTAGAGCGCATATCTAAATGTCTCCCCCAAAGCTTCATGCGCTCATAGGTGGAGCCTTTGCCAGTGACTGGATCATGTGGGTGTGGTATCAGATTAGTCCATTGACTAATGCTTTAGCATAGATCTGGTTGTGGATGATGGATTTGTGAAGAGGGAAGATCCACCCTGGGTGTGGTGGCTCTAACCAATAGGCGTGTAGCCTGAATGGAAAGACAGTGAAAGAGAAAGGAAGCCTTGTTGCTTCCCGCCAGCCCTGCCATGCACTGTTTCTCCTCTGCCATGCCTCTCTGCCATGCTGCCCCGCCTTGGAGCCAACCGACTGTCAACTAAAAGTCTCTACAAACTGTGAGCAAAAATAAACCTTTCCTCCTTTAACTTGTGGGTGTTGGATATTTTGTCCCAGCAATGAGGAAGTAACTAAGACAACCCCCTTTCCAACCTTAACCATTTTTTCCAAAAAAAGACCACTTTTGTGGGCTCTACTTCTGAATTCAACACTGGTGCCTTTTAGAAAATGTTTTGGATAGCCAAGCATGGTGGCTATCAGGAGGCTGAGGCAGGAGGATTGTTGCAAGTTTGAGTTCAACCTGGCCTACAAAGTGAGCTCAAGGCCAGCCTGAACTGCATAGCGAGACCCTGTCTCAATAAGACAAAAAAAAAAGTTTTGGTTATTCTAGATCTTGGTGGAGACCACTGTGAAGCAGCCCTGAGCAGGACTTAAATTAACCAACTGGCTTTTTATGTTTACTTGTGAATCTGTCCAAAGCCTGGGCCACTCCTCTGGAAGTGGGTGATGGACTCATAGTAAATGAACCTCTGAGTCACTAATCCCTACTAAAACGTGTAATGGCTGATGAAACTGGAAAGCCTCAAAGGAGAAAACAAGATCACAGCCAATGGACACCGGGATCCATCTCAACTAGATAAAGACTATAACCTCAGGATTAACTTAATTCTTAGTAAGGATTAATTTGATACCTTACTTGGAGAAGTCCTTGAGTAATTCTGCTCTTCTTGAGTATTCCCCTCCCTTCTTCTGATAACCAAATAAATATGGGCCACCAGAAAAGGTCTTGGTCTTAGCCCAGAGAGAATCTCAAATTCTGTGAGAGGACTTTGATCCTCCTGGAGCCCTGAAATCATTCCATCCAGCTCTTTTTATTTAGCCTTTGCTGTACACTCATTCGGGAAATTGCAGACCTGATCAGCTCGCAATAACTAAGGGATATTATTAACCCAATAAGATCTTTTGCTTGTGTGTATACTTCTAGAAACAAATTTTGTTTTCTACGCCCCCCCCCCCGAAAAAAGTCTACTGGTATTCTGAATGGAATTGCATTGAATGTATAGATCGATTTGGGAAAAATTGACATCTTTGTAATATTGTATCCTGCATGTTTTGATGTGTTGAATTTTCATTTTCATTCAGTTTTGAGTATTTTTATATTTCCTTTTAATCTCTGGATTACTTCAAAATTTATTTTTTAATTTCCAAGAGTTTGGATAATTTTCTGTGTCTTCCTGTTGCTGATATCCAGGTTGACACTACTATGGTCAGAAAATGTACTGTATGACTCCATTCTTACATTTTTGAGGTTTATTTTATAATCCAGGGTATGGATTATCTGCTTCTTCTTTCCAGTTTTAGCAATCTTTGCCCCTTGTATTTTGGGTTCTGTTATTTGGTTTATTTATATGGAGGACCACTAGGTTTCCTGATGGACGGATCCTCTTATCATCTGGTGGGGCTTGGTGGTGGATGCCTGTAACACACTGGGGAGGCTGAGGCAGGAGGATTGCTGTGAGTTTGAGGCCAGTCTGGGCTCCATAGTGACTTCAGGGCCAACCTGGACTACATAGTGAGATTGTCTCAAATATATACATATATATAACACCAAACTCTGTTGCTAGTAATTTTATTTATTCTGGAGTCTGTTTTATCTTATATTAATATAGCCACTCCCACTTTTTAATTAATAGTTTTGTGGTATGTCTTTTCCTATCCTTTTCCTTTCAATCTAACTATACTGTACTGAATTGAGTTTCCTGTAGGTTGCATATAATTGGATTATGTTTTTAATCCACTCTGCCTAGGTCTTTCATCGGTAAATCTAGGTCTTTCATCGGTATATTTAGGGCATTTTCATTTACTATGATTGTTTAATATGTTAGGGCTAAACTGAGTTTTTTTATTACTTGTTTGTTTCTTGTGCTTCTCATTTTTCTGTTTTTTCCCCTTTCTATAACTACTTGAACATATTTCAGAGTTCCATTGATTGAGTTAATTTTTCTTGTACATTGTTTTTTATAGTTTTATTAGTGCTTGCTCTAGGTATCACATTATCCAGACAGAATATACCATTCTTCTTGTGTTGATATTTTGCTGCTTCAAGGAAAGGGTAAAAACTAAACTCCCTCATGTTAGAATATAATTTTCTTTGTTTTTCCTTTATATACCGTGGCAACACACCAGACAGTGTTTTAGCATTTGCTTCAGTCATCAGATAGTATTAAGAATGTTATGAGACGGATATTCTATCATATTTATTCCTATTTTTGCCCCTTTTTTTTGAGACAGGGTCTCACTATGCGGTTCAGGCTGGTCTTGAGCTCACTTTGTAGCCCAGGCTGGTCTAGAACTCACAACAATCCTCCTGCCTCAGCCTCCCGAGTGCTGGAATTACAGGCATGTGCCACCACACCCAGCTTTTTTTTTTTTTTTTTTGCCCATTTTGATGTTCTTTTTGCTTTCTAAAATTCTAAGCCTTTTTCTCTTGTTTCCTTTTTGTTTAGAGAACTTCCTCTTTTTTTGGCTTTGGTTTTTTTCCTGATACTGGGAATTGAAACCAGGGCCTTTGCACTGAGTTGCATCCCCTACCCTTTTTATTTTTTAAAGTAATTTAAGAACAGGGTCTTGCTAAGTGGCTAAATTGCCCAGGGTGGGCTCGAACTTGTGATCCTCCTGCCTCAGCCTCCCAGGTTGACAGGATTACACTTTCACCATTCTTTAAGGGTGGGTTTTCCAGGGACAAATCTTACTTTTCCTTCATCTGAGAGTTTCCTTATGCTCCTGTACTTCCTGGAGGATATTTTTGCTGTGCATGGAGTTTGCTATTGATTGTTCCTTTGTCTCAGCACTTGGAATCATCTCTTTGCCTTCACCTTCAGAAGTGCGATCATAATGCAGGTTGACATGGATTCTTCAGCTTCCTCTATGGAAGGGTTTGCTCAGCTTCTCAGATGGGTAGCTGTCCGCCTTTCGCCAAATTCCGGGCGCTTTCTGGCATTTTCCTCGAGTACTCACAGCCCTGCTCTCTCCCTCCCCACACCCCTCTCACACGAATTCAGCATTGTTTCTGTCCCGCGGTTCCCTGAGACCCTCTTCACTTTTTTCCCAGTTTATTTTGTCTTTTTTGGGTAATTCCTATTGATCTATCCTCAAACTCACTGATTCCATCATTTATCACCGCTATGCTATGATGTGACATATCCAGCGTGTTCATTTAGATCATGGTACTTTTCAATTCTATGGTTTCCATTTTTTTAAACTTCTGTTTCTGTCCTATTTTCTTCTCCTTCTTTTCCGTGTGTTTGTAGCATTGATGTGATGGATGCTTTCACCCTATAGAGAGACTGCAGGTTGGGCGTTACCGCTAACGACACGTAGAGTTTGTATTTCTCAGATCAGCCTTGCCGGGAAGGGTTAACACCCCAGCCACATACCCCACCCTCCGGCTCGGTCTCCGGGGCACCTCTATGGGTTGTTTCTTCAGCTTCACTCGGAGATCTTCCTGGTTCTGGCTGTGACGAATGACTTTCCCCTGGGTGATGGGGTTTGGGGATAGTGTGAGGCCCAATCCTCTGTCAGCTTCCTTTTGAGTAAGGAGTCCCCTGTTGAGATGCCACCCAAGGACCTGGTGAGTGTGTGTGTGGCTTCCTGCTGGGTCCACCCAGCCTACCCCCTGCGTGTACCTTGCCTTGCTTAGGATGGGCGGAGGGGAAGAAGGGCAGGTCCCCCATCACTGGGCCCAGAATCACTGCCTTGGCCAGCCGGTGACCCTGCTGGGGAGACAGGGCAGCCCCTGCTTCCGCCAGGCAAGGCTGCAGAGGACCAGCTCCCTGCTCCCCTGCCAGCTCCACCAGGAGGAACCAGGGGAGCCCGGGGCTGCTCAGCCCCCTGACCTCGCAGGCCGGAGGGAGGAGTGCTGCTGTTCGCTTCCCCGGGGCAGAGGGCGGCAGGCAGGGCAGGTGCCAAGGCTCTCACTAAGCCTCCCTTCGTCTAGCTCCAGGATGAGGGAGGGTCCTGAGAGTGTCTTGGAGCCTGTCGTGGTCAGCGCCCATCAGGGGATCCAGCTGGCGGCCTCTGCTGCCCCGGCCTGAGATTCACGGGGAGCCACACAGACCTGCAGGGGCCCTTAGGCCGTTGGCCTCCGTTCTTCATCTTTCGTCTTTAGTCGTAAGAAACGGGAATTGGGAAACAGGGATTACTCCATTCTGACCAGATCTTCCTTTATTTACAGCATTTTGTATCAGCTTTGCAAAAACCCTCCTTAGGCACTGAGGGAAACATATGAACTCCCAGAGGACAAAGTACAACACATGTCCACCCAGGACACCACTCATGATACCATTCAGGGCCTTTCTTTCTCCCTGTCAGAGCTGGTCTTCAGTTACCCCACTACTGTTTATCTGTGGCAGTTCCTGTTGATGCTTCTTTGATGTCATGACTATTAAATCTCCGCTGTGATTTCTACTTGTTGGTATAAAGTGACTTTCCGCATCGCCCAGTGAATTGTGCACCTGTTGAAATGGCGTTCTGACTCCTGTGCTCTTTGAGCACTCTTTTCCTTTGAATTATATTGGTTCCTTTTGTTTCTCTTGTATAATTCCATTCTGTTTCTTATTCTCACCTGAGAGGCTTTATCTTTGGCTGGGGAATTTTCCCCTCTTCGTTCACTGTCAAGGTTGCTGGGATGGGCTTGTCCTGTTGACAGCATTTTATCCCCCCGCTGAGATGTGGGTGGGAAGCTTTCGGGGCTGATTCTCCCACCTTCCCTCAGTCTTTCTGTTAGGACCTTTTCCTGCAGCAGTTGACAACCAGGACGGCGCTGAGGCCATTGACTGACTTCCCCCGAAGCCCTAACAGTTTAAGCCTGCGTTGTTTTGTGTAAATGCCTTGTGACCCACCTTTAACCCTCTCCTCTGGGGAAGAGTCAGTCCCAAGAAAACGACCACCTCGTTGTAAAAAAGAGTAAAGTCCGGGTAGAGTTGTCCCAGTTAGCCTTTACTTATGTGACTCTATTATCTTTTCTTGCAGATCAGGAAGTTAACTATTCAGACCCAGAGTTCTTAGACGGATTTGTAAACTACGGATTTAATGCCATGCTCAGTAGAAGTTTGGGCCCCGAGAGAGAGGTACCGGACACCAGGGATAAAAGGTGTGTTCCTTCTACCTTCAAAACAAAAGAGTTACTAACCAGATTTTAACTTCAGCACCGTAGCAGTCTTGTAGTGGAGACTGCTATTTTGAGGACTTGAGGTCAGATAATATTGAGATCCTATTTCAAGATTCTAAGGTGTAGAATGGGCAGAGAGCACATCTCCATCAGCAGAGAACGTTCCAGGGCTTTCCAAGAATGAAGTCACCGGCAGGTCTGCTTCTTCAATCAACAAAAGGGTTTCTAAGGCCGGGGATATAGCTCAGCAGCACATCACCTGCCTGGCAAGTGTGAGGTCATGAATTCGATTTCGATTCCCGAAACCAAAAGAAAAAGAAAAAAAAGGACTTCTGGCCAAAGGAGGATTCATCCCAATAGAAAATGGTGTTGCCGGGCATGGTGGTGCATGCCTGTAAACCCAGCACTCGGGAGGCTGAGGCAGGAGGATCGTTGTGAGTTTGAGACCAGCCTGGGCTACAAAGTGAGCTCAAGGCCAGCCTGAGCTGCATAGCAAAAAAAAAAAAGGTGCAGACAGATACCTATTTTTTTTCTTCCAACTGCTACATATTTTTAGTTTCATTCCTTCAATCCACCACAGCTGGCAATCAGGCAGTTTCCATCATACAGAAAGTTCTGTCATAATAGAAAGACTTGGGGAAGGTAGGAGAGTCAGAGCTGAGAGCCTCCTGCCCGCACCCCACAAGGGGGCGTAAAACATGGTAACGAGGGTTGCCCTCATCACAGCATTCCTAACAGTGAGTGCAGACGGGAGAATTCCCCATCTGATGAAGCTGCTACTCCAGCTGCCTTGTTCCTTCGATCATTTCTTTTTTTTTTTTTGGTTTTTCTCCGGTACCGGGAACCAAACTCACGACCTTGCGCTTGCCAGGCAATCCTTCGATCATTTCTATCAATAACTATTTTGAAAATTGCGGTAAGCACACATGATATACAATTTACCATTGCAGCCATTTCTAAAGGCACAATGTGGCGGCCTCAGAACATTCCCTTGGTGAGCAGCCATCCACCCGCCACCTCCAGAAGTTTCCATCGCCTCAGATTGAAACTCTGAACCCAACAAGCAGCTCCCTGCCTCCCTTTCCCTCTTTTCCTATGCCTTGGCAACCACCATGCTACTGTCTGTCTGTCTATCTGTCTGTCTGAATGTGATCCCTTCAGGGACCTCAAATAAGTGAAGTCGCTTTTCAGACTGGGTTGTTTCACAGGTGACATCATGCAGTACTCGTGTTTCTGTGCTCGGATTATTTTCACCTCACATAACACCTCCCCAGATCCATCCATGTCACAGATGACTGGATTTCTTTCTTTTTAAAAGCTCATGGCGGGGCGTGGTGCTGCACCCCTGTAATCCCAGCACTCGGGAGGCTGAGGCAGGAGGATTGTTGCAAGTGTGAGACCAGCCTGGGTTACAAAGTGAGCTCAAGGCTAGCCTGAACTGCATAGTGAGACCCTGTCTCAAAAAGACCAAAAATAAAATTAAAATAAAATAAAATAAAATAAAATAAAATAAAATAAAATAAAGGCTTCCTGTGTGAATACACCACATTTTCTTCATTCCTCTATCCGCTGGTGGACCCTGAGTGTTGTGGATAATGCTCTAAAGACCATGGAAGTAGGGGTAGCGCTCCAACCTACTGATTCCACACCCTTGGATACATCCCCAAAGTGGGTTGCCTGGGGCACACCATGCTCCCCAGTGGATACATAATGTTCTTTCCCACTGGCAGTGTGCAGAGTTCCCCTTTCTCAGCATTCTTACCAACACTTGCTAGCTTTCTTTTTTTGGGTACTGGGGATCGAACTCAGGACCTTGTGCTTGCCAGGCAGGCGCTTGCACCACTGAGCTATCTCCCAGCTCTAGCTTTCTTTTTTTGACAATAATGATTGATCCATGTGAGCTGCCATTTCATAGTGGCTTAATTCCCACTTCCCTGATACTGAGCACTTTTTCCTGTACTCAGTGACGATTTGTCTTTTTTTAAAATTTGTCTTCTTTTGAAACATGTCTATTCAGAGTTTTTCTCTTTCTTTGCCAACTTATTTAAAAATCTGGTAATTTGTTTTCTCACAATCAAATATGGATATGAACCTTTCATTAGATGTATTATTATTTCATTAGATGTATTATTCTCATTCTGTGGGTTGTGCTCCATTCTGCTGGTTGTTTCCTTTGCTGTACAGATTTGTAGTTTGACACATTCCCATGTGTTTACATTTTTCTTTTTGTTGCTCTGCCTTTGCAGTTGTATAGAAAAAATCACTGCCTAGGGATGGGGAGGTAGCTCAGAGACGCAGTTCCTGACCTGCAAGCACGAGGGAGGCTGAGAGTTTGATTCCTGGTACAAAAAAAAAAAAATCATTGCCTAGACCAAGGTCATGGGTCTTTCCCCTGTGTTCTCTCTAGTGATTTCATAGTTTCAGGTTTTACATCTTGAATGTACTTTGAGCCCATTTTTGTGTATGGTATGAGATGAGTATCTAACTTCATTCTTCTTGTTTGGTCTTTTTGAGACAAGGTTTCACTATGTAGTCCAGGCTTGCCTTGAACTCACTTTGTCATCCAGGCTGGCCCCAAACTCACAGCAGTCTTCCTGCCTCAGCCTCCCGAGTGCTGCGGTTACAGACCTACGTCCCCACACCGGGCTTCTAATTTTGTTCTATATGTGTGGGTATTCGGTTCTCCAGGCACCATTTATTGAAGACATTGCTCTTCCTGCACAGTGTGTTCTTGGCGTATTTCTTGGAAACCAGTGGCTGCAGAGCCGTTGCTTGTTTCTGGGCTGCCCGTTCTGTCCCGTTGGTCTGTGTGTCCGTTTTCTTGCCAGTAATAAGTTTAATGTCAGCCTTCAATGTACTTAGTGATTTGTTTTAATAATAGAAGCTAAAATATGGCTATCATTTGTATTGAGGCTATATTTGAAGTAGAATTAAATTATCAAAATAGAGTGTCAGGAAAGAACAATTAAGAAGGAGGAAATCATTCCAAAAGTATTAGAATGACATAGTTAGTATTTTTTTTATTTTAAAGATAAAAGGAGGGAGACATTAACAGACATACAACATTTTACAACATATCACAAGCACAATACAGACAATACAGAGTTACAAACAAAGTGGTA